TGTTATGCACAAACAATGAATCATGGAACACTACATCTAAAACTAATGATGTAATGTATGGGGATTAACATAAGAATAAAAAAAAATAAAGAAAACAGAAAAAAAAATAAATAAAAAATAAAAAGCTAGGACTAAGTAGCTGAGTGGCTGGACCTTTTGTGTGTATGCATGCTGGCATATTTTTAGAGATATGGAGAAGAGAAAGAGCCCTCACAATTCTAACGAATTGCCTACATGGACTGGCTCCAGAGTGTTGGCGACTTCCCGTTGGCACAGGCCACACTCACAGAGAGCTGGCGACACCTCTGAGCCGGGACCTCTGTCCCGTCCCCTGAGGCACAGAGGCCCTCAGAAAGCAGTGTGCTTCCTGATTATGCCCCGCACTAGTTATGTGACTCTGGAACATCGCTGCATTTCTGTAGGCCTCTGAGAAGGGCATAGCTGGAGTACCTCTTTGATGGGGGTATTGTCCTGATTAAATATGTTAATGCATAGGAAGCACTTAAGCCCAGCACCCTGTAGAGTTCTCAGTGAATGTTAATTGTAGTTGTCATTGACTGACTTCCTCTCTACCCTTTAGGACCCTGGCTTCTGTAACAGAGGACCCAGTGTGGTAGCTTAGGGGGCCCAGTTCAGCCACAGTTGAGTGGCTTCCTCAATTAGGTCAGCCGAGCCGGGTGTGTTCCATAGTCATGGATTGGAGCCCACATTCTAAGAATTTCCCCTCTCTGATCCTAGGAGGCCTCTCCAAGAATAACCAACCTGAACCTTTTTTTTTTGAACTTCTAAATATTTTAAAAATGTTCAACTAACACATGCTAATGAAAGACTTGGGAAATATATAAAATGAAAAAATCACCCATAGATTCAGAATAACTCCTGTTAATATTTTGGAGTGTTTCTTTCAAATGTCTTCTTTTCCCTAGTTGACAATTATTTTTTTCAAAGTTACATATAATTTTATATCTTGTTATGTTTACATAGTTTTACAATTATTTTCCATTTGTTACACCTGCTTTATGAACATTTTTATTTCTAAAAGTGTTATTTATTGGTCCTCAATTTTTAGATTCAGGCATTGACAAATCTAAGAATATATTGGTCTAATGATGACATAATATACCATTGCACAGTTGTACTATATGTTCTTTAACTTGACCTTGATGTTGGACATTTAAGTTGTTTGCATTTTTCCACACTATAATAAATAAGTCTTGTAAGAGCATCTTGGTACTAATAACCTTTTTCTGTCTTAAGGATTATTTTACTAGGCAGAATGCCCAGAAATAGGTCAGACGGTAGGAATACATTCAGGATGAAGAGTTAAATGTTCTAAACAAAAGACTGCTGTCATCTAAACTGTTCAGGCTTTCAAGTGGAGGCAGAAGGATGTGGGGTTTCCCACCCTGCCTGCCCACTGTGTACCAGTGGCTAGCCCGGCATTGAACCTGTGCCCCGAGAGTCTCTCATTTGGCCTATGGCTGTCTGATTCCTCATCTGGTGGTCAGGTCTCCTTCTGTTCCTAATCTGTATTGTCCCAGCTGAGAGCGTATCACTGTATCCCCTTGCCTTGGGGACTATCACTGATGCCTGAGCCTTTCCCGCTGGCCTCAGAGATCCCCTGGCCCACAGGTCCCCATCCCCTGCCAGCTGAAGTGAGTACGCAAACCTTTTCTTGGCTACCTTCTGCCAGTCAGGCCATCTGCATCTGCTTCCCTCCATCTCTCTTCTGGCACAGGCATAAACAGGAGCAGGCCAAGGTCCAGGATGAGCTATTCCAGGTGGTGACGAGGGAAAGAGAGGCAGCCACAAAGCACAGGAGTGCATCCCTGCAGCAGGGAGAGGGCAGCGTTGACCAGGAGAAGCAGAAGTCAACCCAGCTGGTGAGTAGAGATCTTCCTGAGCTGGCCTTTTGTGCTCCAGCAGCTCTGGGAGGCAGAGGTTAGGCCCTGGAGCCTGATCTCTCTGAAGCCCTGGGGCCTGGCTCCACCTTTGTGGAAAGGGTGTCTTTCTGGGGGACCAGGGGCTTGAGTTCTTATAGCCCTAACTCTACCACTGACTTGCTTTGCTACCTCTGGCCTGTATTTTCAGTTTCTAGAGCGCTAGGTTATATGGTGAGGGCTGGATCATTCAACAGTCTGGTCCCTCTCTCTGAAAAGTCACAGTTTTAAGTGGTATATGTACCAGGAGGGTCTGAAGGGAGAGTACTAGGGGCTTGAGGGCATGCACTAATGAGATGGAGAACACAATTTTTTTTTTAAAAGATTTTATTTATTTATTTGAGAGAGAGAATGAGAGAGAGAGAGCACATGAGAGGGGGGAGGGTCAGAGGGAGAAGCAGACTCCCTGCCGAGCAGGGAGCCTGGTGCGGGACTCGATCCCTGGACTCCAGGATCATGACCTGAGCCGAAGGCAGTCGCCTAACCAACTGAGCCACCCAGGCACCCTGGAGAACACAATTTTTTAAAGGTAGGCAGCCTGGGTACAAATCCTAGCTCCCTGCTTACTACCTCGGGCCCGTCCTCCAGTGTCTGTGAGCCTTGGTTGAGGATCATGATGTTTGCACATAGGATTGCCCAAGGGATTAGGTGAGATAATAACTGTCCCAGGCTTAGCATATGCCTGGCAGATTATAAAAATGCGCTGTTATCGCTGTTACTGGTATTAATGCATTTAATTGATGGGAGACTACTATTAGTTAGGATTCTTTCTGCTGTGAGTGAAGGCTTTATGTCGTAATCCCAGAAGTCTAGAAATGCCCCAGGCTTGACTAATTCAGCAGCTCGCTGGCGTCATGATCCCCATTCTCTTTCTGCTCTGCCATCTTCAGTGTGCCAGGGTGTCCTCAGGCTAGACATTCCCATAGGTCAATGACAGCTGCCCCTGCACTCCGCCAGGTCTTATGCAGATGGGGACACACCTAGCAGAAGAAGAGAAAACTTTCCCGGAAGTCCCCAGCAGAAGGCCTCTGACATGGCACTGGCCTGAACTGCACTGGGGGCCCATGGCTCAGCCAATCGTCTGCAGAGGGAACAGGGAGGGCTCCACTGACTGGAGCAGGGGCTCTTTTCTAGTCCCACTGGAGAGGGGGTCGACATCCAGATAGAAGTTGGACTTAGAGTAATAATTCTCCCAATTCCATTTCCATGTGGGAAAACCCCCACACAGCCACGAAATTCTCTGACACCAGCTGGGTGTCCTCCAATTCAACTCCCTCCTGAGACTCCACAGGGTAAGGGCTCAGGGCACAAGACTGCCCCCTCCCCACACTTCAGATACCACTCAAGGCCAGGTTGTCACCTGTGCTTCTGGTTGACTGGCTGTGAATCAGAGGTTCCCATCATCCCCTCGTTTGACTGATTTGCTAGAGTGACTCACAGAGCTCAGAGAAACGTTTAACTTACTAAAAGGATTATGAAAGGATTTAACTCAGGAACAGCCAGATGGGAGAGATCCATAGGGCAAGGTATGTGGGGAAAGGGTGCAGAGCTCCTATGTCCTATGCCAGCGCGCCACTCCCCCAGAGCCTCTCTGTGCTCGCCTACCTGGAAGCTCTTCAGATCCAGTTGTTTTGGGGTGAAACTGGGGTGAGGCTTCATTACCTAGGCATGACTGATTCAGTCATTGACTACTAGTGATTGAACTCAGCCTTCAGCCCCTCTCCCCTCCCTGGAGCTCAGGGGTAGGACTGCAAGTTCCAACCCTCCAACCAGTGATTGGCTCCACTGGTAACCAGTCCTCATCCTTCCATGCAGTCCAAAAGTCATCTCATTACCATAAAGAAAGATACCTTTATCCCTCTCATCACTTAGGAAATTCCAAGCGTTTTAGGAGCTCTTTTTTTTTTTTTTAAAGATTTTATTTATTTAACAGAGAGAGACACAGCGAGAGAGGGAACACAAGCAGGGGGAGTGGGAGAGGGAGAAGCAGGCTTCCCGCTGAGCAGGGAGGCCGATGCGGGGCTCGATCCCAGGACCCTGGGATCATGACCTGAGCCGCAGGCAGACGCTTAGCGACTGAGCCACCCAGGCGCCCCAGGTTTTAGGAACTCTTAACAGTAAAGACTAAATATTTAGTTCTTATTTAAATCATGATATCACAGCAAGGAATGGGGACGGGGTGGGGGAGGGAAGAATGGCTGTAGCAGCCTCTAATGTCATCTGCTTCAGAGGCCATGGGCCAGGAGACGAGCAGCAGCCTCGCCCTGCCTTAGGTGGGTGGCCTGGTATACCCTGTGCTGCACAGAAGGAAGTTGCAGACGAGGTGAGATTACCATTTGGGACTGTGCCCTGGGTGGTGGCTGGGAGGAAGGCCTCTGCACAGATGTTGAAAGCTGCGGTGGGTACATAACAGATGCTGGTTGAACTAGGCCCTCTGGGAAATATGAACAGTACATCCTTGTCTCCCTTGGGGAAGACAGACTTAAATCAAAAACTTAGAAAAAGGCCACATTGGTTTCAGTAAGCGTGAGGTGGAGGTAAAGATGATGTGCTTGGGAATGCAAAGGCAGTGGTGGTAACTGCTGGTGGAAGACATGGCTTTGACCTCAGCCTTGAGCAATATGGCTGGGGCCCCCAGGCTGAGGGAGCAGCTGCGGGGAGATGGGTGGGTCTGGAGGAGGTGACAGGACGCAATGAGAGAGGTTAGTGAGGCGTGAAGCCACTTTATAGAAGGCCTTGGTCACCTTGCAGACTTGACCCACAAGATAGCCCTCTGTGACTGAAACCTCGGAAGAGTCCCTGGAGACCATGAGGATGGCAATGATGTGATCTGACTGGTGTTTTTAGAATCCTGTGGCATCCTGGTGAAGAGTCAGTTGGTACAGAGAGAAACTGGGGTGAGGATGTGGTTTTAGGGGCTCTGACAATTAGTCTCTGCAGGGCAGGTTGTTGTCACCCCTTTTCAGGGAGCCTGACAACCAAGTGGAAAGGACTCTGGTTCTGGAGGTGAAGGGTTAACCAATATGGCATGAGCAAACCCAGCTGGCCACCTGGGACAGTCACCTAGCATGGAAAAGTGCAGCCTACAGGTGTGGTGTTTCTTCCTTCTCACCTGGAATGTGTTAATTACAATGAAAGAAAATTCACAGCTTCCCTTCTTCCACCTGTGAAGAAGGCTGGGTCCTGCCTCCTCAAGACTGTCCTTGGAGGAGAACCTTTACTATCGGGAAGGGACTTAAATGACCTTCACTACAGCTGTGTGGGTTTTCTTTTTTAACAAAGGGCAACTTTAGAATAAAGAAAATAAATCTTTATTTGATCCCCCCTCCCCAAATTTCGATGGATAATGCTCTTCTGAACCTGAGTTCTTAGGGAATAGTGAAGCAAGTGACTTCCTTCATTTTGAAAATGTTTATTGACTACTTTTCTGGGTGTTCCCATTTTTTTGACTGTTCAACATCCATCTCTCCATGCAGTTGGTGTCCTGTTTCCTTTTGGGAATTTACCTGGCTCCTGTTGCGCGTTGTCTTGGTGGGATTGCAATCCCAGTGCCCAACTTCTTTTATGGAAGCCAGATCTCTTCTCTCCCCCTGCCATGGTGTAGCCACACCCGGAGGGCAGCCAGTCAAACCCTCTCTCTGGGGACTTTCGTTCTGAGTGAGTGAAGAGGCCAGGGTAGGACTGTAGCCCAGGCCTGCTCATCAGGATCTTCATGCGGTGAGGCTGTCTTGCTGTCTCCCACACCTCCACGGTACCCGTCGGTTTCCATCTGGTCCTCTGCCTTCTTGAGGATTGAATCGTCTGCTGATGACCCGCAGTCAGCTCTCCTTTGCTTGTGTTAGCTGGAGTTGGTTTCTGTTATTTGGTGCTGTAACAGATGCAAAGAGACACATGAGCCTGGTTTTGAAGGCTTCAGCCAGTCAATGCAAACAGAGAAGGGCAGCCAATTCCAGGCCCTATCTGTAAGTCAGCAGGGGGTGAGGCACTCACCTAGATGCTGAGGATGCTGAGTGATACCATAGCCACCCCCCCACTTGGGTTGTTGTGGCTGGCAGGGCCTTTTAGTGGAGATCATTTCAAAACTGTACTTGTGCTTTGGAGGATTTAAATAAAAGGAAAAAGACGGAGAAGGGACCTGAACAGAAGCATAGGGAATTTTCTTTCCTCATCCGAGCGTTCCATATGTACAGATTGAAGGAGCCTGCTGGGCAGGGCACTTAAGGCCCTAGTGTTTGGATCATAGCATGTTCTCCTGGCCTTGGGGCCAGGTTGGACCCCGAGGTGGATGTGGCGTGGTCTCTCGCTGTATGAGCTGGCTGCCTGCTTCTTGGGGCCACCTCTGTCTGGCCAGTGTCCTCAAGCCCTGCACCCTTGCACCTGTAGCCTTGTCTGGAGGACTTTTTCCCGAGTGTGCTGAGTGCAGTTTGACATTTAAAGTGCTTTTCTGCCCTCTCTTTGACAATATTGATTTTTTAATCCTCTTCTGCATGAGGGAATGTTTCAGCTCATTATTGGGAAAAGTTAATAAAGCTAATGACAAGGAAAGGTAATAATTTTTATAACCTACTTCTGATGACAAAAGTGTTCCCATTTCCTATCTAGTGTAGTAGTGGACTGTTTTTGAGTATGTTATGTGTGTTCCCTATTACTTGCAGACTGTAGAGCCCCAGATATAATTGGGGTGAAGGCCCTGTGTTTCAGTGGAGCCTATGTTAGTAAGGTATGCTTTCCTCTGAGTTGGGGCAGGAAGTTTGGAGTCCCAAATGTTCTAGAGAGAAATAAGAACAGAGCGGTTTCTGGGACTGAATCTTCTGATGGGCAGAACTTTACTTTAGGGGAGAATGAGATTTATGACCTTGCCTGTTGGGATTCCTGACACATTAGGTATGAGATTGGAGTACACCTGATGGAAAGCAAAAACTTTCATTTTATTTCTTTTTTGG